GCCGCCCGGCCCCGCGCCCGCCCGCCTGGACCTCTTGTGAGGTTTCAGCCATTCCGTGTTAGTGCTACAGAACATGGTTTAGTATCTGCAGGTTAGCTGTTCCTCCGCACGATGCCAAGGCTTCCCACAGCTGCAGCTTTCCGAAATGGTGGCTCCCTGCCATCACAGACAGGGCCGCTCGCGGCTGGGGGAGGGTAGATGCTGTGTAACAACAGTGCTGGGTGGAAATATTTAATGACTCCAAATGTTTAAGGTCTGGCTATGAAATACTTTTCTTCTCTTTTCCTAATTACTAGGCCTTTCCTTTCCAAGCACGTTGTTGTTTTTACAGTGGAGTAAGCATACAGGGCTCAGTACAATAGCAGAACTGTGTCTGCTAAATAGGAGGTTTCCCCTCCGGAAGAGCTTGCCATTTAGGAGCACATGCTGGAGCTGCACAGGACAGCACTGATGATACCATGCTGAAACAGCACTCTTGTTGAGTGGGGTGCTCCACAGAACAGATGGGTTTGTTTCACAGAGTATCTTGCAGGAAGAGAGTAACAAGCTTTGCATGCATTAGAATAGAGTCTGTTCTGGGAGAGCAGCACGCTGAGTTCAGGGGTTTTATGCTTTCTTCAATTCTTGCTTCATAAATCTAATCTCTCTCCAAATGTTTTTTTTTTGAGGAACAGTTTCCCAGAACACGATTGCACATATTTGTTACATTCTTTTATTACTATTCCCAAGCAATTTGCTAATGTGCTTTCTCTGCCTATTTATACAGTAGCACTTAACATCTGAGTAGACAATGATATTAAACACAGCAGTGCCCTCATCATAGCATGCTACAGGTTTGGCAAATTTTGTCTGAATTACAAAAAATACCAAGGACTGATTGTGGTTTCACTCAGTAAAGGAGATGTCAGTTGCATTCTGCTGGTGTGGATCATGATTCGGCTTTTGATTTAATAACTTTCTATTCCTTTAAAGGCAGATCGATTCTAGCAACTCTGCAGAGTATCAGCTGAAATCATAACTGTAAGTGTTTGTTATGAAGGAAGTGCTAGGAGCCTTATTTCTGTCTGAGGATTCCCTGAAAGAAATACGTGGGCAGATGCAACAAAATGCAGGTGTGGTAGGTCTGGCACATTTGGACATGCATTGGCTGTGCCTGTGATGTATAGGTGATCTGCACATGTACAACTGACGCTTCACTATTTTTGTCTTGCAGACCCATGAGAGCAATTGCGTAGTGGAGAGCGCAGAGCTGCTCTCCTCTTGCACGTGCTTTATGCTGCTGGACATCTAGAAATCCTGGGCAAGTGGAGAAAAGAGCAATAAGTTAGTTGATGAGGCATAAAAGTGCAGAGAAAAAGAGACAGTAGCTCCATCCTGCTCTCTGTAACTGACTAAGACAAAGGGGAGGAGATACAGCCCAAAATGTGCTTCCCCACAGACACATGTTTGCCTCATCCTGGATGTGAAGATCCCTCCGTAGTATGTACATCAACCATATATTCCTTGCATGTCATTATAGGCAGCTCTTTTCACCTGCAATAGTAAGACTTGTAACCGTCTCCTATTTGCAGGTTCCACCCAGTGGTTATCATCTGCCTGAAATCTTTAGGTATTCCCAGGACACCTAAGATGTAATGATGAACCTGGAAGTACAGGTAATCCTGATGGTGCAATTGAAATGCAACTTGGCAGATAAAAAGCTCAGGAGAAGGCTGGTGAGCCCCAGAACTCACTTGAAATTTGTGGGGCCAGTGGGAGAACAAGACCTTTTCAGCCTTTTCAGTGCCTTTAGTCTAATGAAGGGCCACCTTGAACTTGTATTTACTAGTTGTTAACATGATAGAAACTGTGACAGGACTTGACATTATATCCGTCACCGTGGGTGCAATAGCAATTGAATGTGAAGCAATCCGTTTTTTGGTTACTGGATTTCTTTGTTACGCTCATATGGCACGTGTATCTTTCATGTAAATAAAGAGTACCGCTATTGGATTTAGTGAAGAACAGGACTGACCATGGTAACTTTCACTTTTTAAAATTAATTCAAATTGTTTTATTTTTCTTTGATAATTAGAATATCAACCTTCATACTATGTCCACTTTTCAGGCAGGTACATTATTACATAAATGTACTTTTTCTCTGTCATTCATTTTTCTGTAAGTACATGTATATCGCAATGTTTGATTTAAACTAAATATAAGATAAATTGAAAAAATAGTTGCTACAAAATTGCTACCTGCTGAAATATTTACAGATCCCCAAATTCTGTTTGATAGTTCTGAACAAGTGCACAGTGTACCAAGATGCGAACCTCAAATTGAGATAGTATAGGAATCCATTATTTTAAAACTGACTTTGTAGATTTATTGTGCATTTGTTCCGCTGCACTTATTTTCTGTCTGCACCGCTGCTTGCTCTCAGCTCATTGCTATGTAGATTTACTGTAATTTTCCTTTTGTAATTTTCCAGCAGCCAGAGAATGTTGCTCTGGTTTTGTGTTATTCCTGTTATTCTTACATCATTATTGTTTATCATCAGTAGGAGTAAAGGCAGGAATTAAGAGACTACTGAATACAGTGTGACCAGAAAATGCATTTGGAATTAAATGATGCAAGGCTTTTTGCATAAGGACTATTCTCATATAATTTGTCTCAGAACGTTTGTCATACTTTTATCAGAAAACGTATAATGAAGTAACATAGGGATATCTAAGCAAGATATCTGTGTTAAAACCCTTACATAACACTTTTTCTCACATAATTCAACTTTCTAAAGTCAAAATCTTTGTTGCCATTTTTACAGTGCTCTAGGAGCAGTGACAGAACATACAACAGTATTGTATGACCTGCATTGCTAAAACTAGAAATCCATGTTCCTTTTCAATTCAATCTGTTGTCTGCCAACAATGCAGCTAAGTAATGCAGTTCATGCTCTTGTGACCCTGCAATGAGCTTGTTCAGAAGTTAAGTTCATTTATAACAGTGAACATAATTAGTAATCCGGTAATAGCTTAGTTTTAATCTCTCAGTCAGACTACAATGATATTTTGAGGATGAAGAAATCCGAGAATATTTTTAGGTTTTATACACTGGACAAGAGCAAACGCATTACAGATTTTACAAATCTTTTGATCTAGGAATAATTCGGGGATTGTGAGTGTGATAGCTGCAAAATATAATGCCCTCTAATGGGCAATTGAGAATTAGTTCCTGTCTGTGAGTGAGAGGCAACTGCTTATGCATGATGGAAACTATATCTTTTAGTATTATTACAAATGTAGAAATGCTCTGTATCATAAATGTAATGAGAGAAGTTGGGAACTGATCATGAGTCTCATTCAGAAAAGAAGCTAAGGTAATTTTTTTTAATACTATAATGAACTAAGGGCATGGCATGTGAAGTAGTTTTAAGTAACCCAGTTCTTTAATACATTGGCTTTTTCACATTATGTTCCAAAGCTACGGAGATTATGAAGATGAGATAATATGGGTAGTTGCTAGGAAGAACAGAAATTTAAATATCACTAAAGCTTTTATTAGATCTCTGAAATTAAAATTTATATCTATACAGTGTATAACACAGTGCCTCTGCATTATTCGAGGAATCTGTGTACAGTTTATAAATGTATTTGGCATGAAATTTCTGTCATGAATATCTCAGTGCATATGGTTAGCTTTCAGGGATGGATCATCTTCCTTCTAAAGCAGAAACAGTGGAAAATCATTAAAAGTTGATATTCTGTATTCAAATGGGGGAACACTGCACTGCTAGGATAGCTTAAGCCAAATGAAGCCAGTCCAGGTATGCTTTTCTGTAAGAAAGGGATTTGGAATGAGATAAATTTCCAAGCAGGAAAACAAAGAACTCAGATGTTAAAATAGCACCTTGCAAGTCTTTCATACCAAGAAAAGAGGATATGTTGGAGAAAAACGAGGGAGTAGGGGGAAGACGTTGGCACGCTTTTGTAGCAAAAGGGGAAATTTATCTGTAGAACTCGCTGAGCAGGAATAAACTTGGATGAACAGGACAGAGTGAGAAAGCAAAAGAAGAAAGAAGGGAGGAGGAAAAAGAGAGAGAAAACAAAAGAGAGGAAGGAAAGAAAGAGAGAGAAAGAGCCATGTGCTGGAAGGGAGGATCTTCATTTCTTAAATGACTCTGACCCACGCCCAAAGAAGGCTTAGGTCAGTGATGAGGAAAGTAAAGTAACTGTGTATAAAGCATGTGTGTCTGGTTTGTGGTTTATCACATGTCCCTAAGTGATAGTAAATTGTGAGTGTGACTAGGGAATGGTTTCCTTCAGTCACTAACAAATCCTTGAGGAATGGGGCTGTGGGTCCGGTCTCGTTTCTGAGTCCTTGAAATACGTAGGACCCTACATAGCAAACTACTCATTATTCATGCTAGAGGAGCTGTGGCCTATGACTTCAACCTAGATCCCTTTAAAAGCT